GTTATTTCTCCTCTTTCATTTCTGATTTTGTTTTTGTTTTTTAAGATTTTATTTATTTATTTGACAGAAAGAGAGAGAGCACGAGCGGGGAGGAAGGGGGAAGGGAGACACAGGCTCCCCGCTGAGCAGGGAGCCCAACACGGGGCTCGATCCCAGAACCCTGTTATCATGACCTGAGCCGAAGGCAGTCGCTTAACTGACTAAGCCACCCAGGCACCCCACGATTTTGTTTGAGTCCTCTTTCTTTCTTTTTCTTTCTTTTTTAATGAATCTGGCTAAAGGTGTATCAATTTTGTTGCTTTTTTCAAAGAACCAGCTCCTGGTTTCATTGATCTGTTGTTTTTGTTTGCTCGCTTGCTTCTATTTCATTTATTTCTGCTCTAATCTTTATTATTTCCTTCCTTTTACTGGTTTGGGTTTTGTTTGTTCTTCTTGTTCCAGCTTCTTTAGGTGTAAGGTTAGTTTGAGATTTTTCTTGCTTCTTGAGGTAGGCCTGTATTGCTATAAGCTTCCGTCTTAGAATGGCTTTAATGCATTCCAAAGATTTTGAAGCATGTGTTTTCATTTTCATTTGTCTTCATGTATTTTTTGTTTCCTCTTTGATTTCATGGGTGATCCAATCATTATTTAGTAGCATGTTACGTAACCTCCATGTATTTGTGTTCTTTCTAGATTTTTTTTCTTGTGTTTGGTTGATTTCTAGTTTCATAGTGTTGTGGTTGGGAAGGATGCATAGTAGGATTCAGTGTTTTTGAATTTGTCGAGACTTGTTTTGTAGCCTAATATGTGATCTACTCTGGAGAATGTCCCATGTGCACTTAAAAAGAATGTGTGTTCTGCCGTTTGAGGATGGAATGTTATATCTGTTAGATCCATCTGGTCCAGTGTGTCACTCGAAGCCACTGTTTCCTTGTTGATTTTCTGCTTAGTTGACCTATCCACTGATGTAAGTGGGGTGTTATTTAAAGTCCCCTGCTATTATTCTATTATTATCAATTACTTCCTTTTTATTAACTGGTTTATGTATTTGTGTGCTCCCATATGGGTGCATAAATATTTACAATTGTTGTATCTTTGTTGAATTGTTCCCATTATGATTATGTAGTGTCCTTTGTCTTTTGTTACAGTCTTTGTTTTAAAGACTTCCTTATCACTTCCCTTTGTATGATAAATGTTTCTCCATCCCCTCACTTTCAATCTGCATGTGTCTTTAGGTCTGAAATGAGTCTCTTGCAGGCAGCACGTAGATGGGGCTTGCTTTTTTTATCCTGTGGATGATGGATGTCTTTTGATTGTTTAGTCCATTTACATTCAAAGTAATTTTTGATAGGTACATACTTACTGCCATTTGGTTACTTGTTTTACAGTTGTTTTTGCAGTTCTTTTTTCTTCTCTCGCCCTCTTTTCTGCGTCTCCTGCTCTTGAAAGCAGTGGCCTTATGAAGGGTTCTTGTGTCCTGCTGTGCAGTGTCTCGGTTCACCAGGGCCTGGCCCTTCAGAGGTGTGTCCTGTGTGTGTTGCATGCGCCCTACTCTTTTGGCTGAGCTGCATTTGCCTTCAGTCCAGTTGTCTGCAGTGGCTCTCCTTGCCTGTCTTGGGCAGGGACTGGTCCCTGTGCTGCTGATGGGCCAGTGTGGGGCCACGCTGGACTTGAGGTGGGTGAGACCTGGCATTTGCCAGAGCTGCAGCAGCTCCCAAGTATAGGGCACGCTCTCCGCGCTCCGCGTCGTCCTCTGAGAAGCGTGTGCTGGTGGGTCGGCCTGCAGTCAGCCCCGACGTTGGCCCCCAGCCCGTTGCTGGGGGCTGCAGTCAGACGGCATGTCGGCTCCCTCCCCCTCTCCCCAGGGCAGGCATCACTTTGGGGGTGATGTTGGCACAGTGCCAGGCTTGTGGCACCATTTTCGATGGGCTCTGGTCAAAACGGTGCTGGAGGGGGTGGGTAGCTCCGGAGCATGTGGGGGCAGGGTGTGTGCCATCAGCGAGGTTCCTGAGGGCCTCCTGTAGGGGTGGGCTTGCAGCTGAGCTCTGGTTTCGGGGCTGTGTTAGCAAGGGCGGTATTTGTGCTGCATGGGTCCACAGGTGTCTGTGTATCGAGGCGGGGGTGGGGGAGGGAAATGGTGCCTGCGCTCTTTTGTTCTTGGAGAAATTTCCCAAAGATCTTTGCCTCTGCAGCACCCATTTTGAGACTAGGAAACAAATCTCCCTGCTGTGTAGCCCGGGTGTTTTGCAAAGTGCTGCTTCTGTGCGGTCTCTTTAAGGCTGGGGACCCCGATTCCCCTCACCCTCCAGCTCTCCAGTCACACCTGCGAGTTTGAGAGTTCCAGGTGTTCGGCCCTACGGATGGAAGAATTTGTGGAATTATATCCCTCTGCTTTTCAGAGCCAGAGGCGACGGGGCTTTGTCTTCCCTGCGTGGGTGCCTCGGGAGGCTGGCGTGAGGCTCTCTTTCTAACCCCTCTCCATGCCCATGGAGTCCCTCTCTCCGGGGACACTCCTGCAGGTCGAATTCATTCCCAACCGTGTCTCCACCCTTCCTATACCCTCTTTGAAGTGGCCTCTTGTCTGCATGTAGCTGTGCAGTCTGTCCTGCCGGTCTTCAGGAGGTTTTCTGGGTTATGTATGCTGACACACTGCGGGGGGGGGCGTCTTGCTGTATCTGTGTGGTGATGTGAGCTTCGGATATTCCCACTCTGCCATCTTCCCTGCAAGTCCAGGAAAATGATACTGAACGCCATGGGGATGAATGACATTGTTCATAGAGGTGGGGTACACAGAGATGGGAGGGCCATGTACTTGGGCAAAGCAGCGTCTAGAGCTGGCGGGGGGCGGAGTCGAAGGGAGTGACCGCATGTCACTGGACGGAGTTGAAGGAGGTGACTGTGTGTCACCGGACAGAGTCAAAGTGGGTGACCGAGTGTCACCAGAGTCGAGGGGTTGACCACCCGTCACTGGATGCAGAAGGGGGTGACCGAGTGTCACGAGAGTCGAGGGGTTGACCACCCGTCACTGGATGCAGAAGGGGGTGACCGAGTGTCACCAGAGTCGAGGGGTTGACCACCCGTCACTGGATGCAGAAGGGGGTGACCGAGTGTCACCAGAGACGAGGGGTTGACCACCCGTCACTGGATGCAGAAGGGGGTGACCGAGTGTCACCAGAGGCGAGGGGTTGACCACCTGTCACTGGATGCAGAAGGGGGCGACCGAGTGTCACCAGATGGAGTAGCAGGGGTAACCGAGTGTCACTGGATGGAGTTGAAGGGGGTGACCAAGTGTCACCAGATGGAGTTGAGGGGGGTGACCAAATGTCACTCTCAGTGCCTCCTCTTAGGAAAACAGGACCATGTTTTAAAGAATGCGTAGGATTCTTAAGAGTCCCTAGAGTCCTCGGGTATCAACTGCATACCATATATCATTGTATTACAGCAAACTGGAATCAATCCCCTGAGCAGAGAATGTCAGCCCCAAAGCGGACAAGAGTCTGTTCCTATCTCATGGCGTTCTTACCTGCTTCCCTGTGGCCAGAACTCACCATCCAATATGGTAGCCATTAGCAACCTGTAGTTGTCTGAATGTAAACTGATTACAGTGAATTAAGAATCTGATTCCTCAGTCGCACTAGCAATATTTCATCTGCTTTACAGGCAGGAGTGACTAGGGGCCACCACGTGTAGAATATTTTCAACGTCGTAGACAGTTGTTGGGCGGTGCTGGCCAGAGGACCTGCTCACAGTCATCTACACCGCCCACGCCATCCACCAGGCATGCCCATGGCCATCTACACTGCCCACGCCAACTGCCAGGCCTGCTCACGGCCATCTACACCGCCCACGGTCATCTACACTGCCCACACCAACCACCAGGCCTCATCCCCATGTTCACTTGAAAGATCTCCTGGGGGTGCCTGGAGACAACTGGGGGCTCAGTTGGTCAAGCGTCTGCTTATGGCTCAGGCCATGATCTCAGGGTCCTGGGATGGAGCCCCGCTCAATGGGGAGTCTGCTTCTACCTCCCCACCCCCACTTGTGCTCTCTCATTCTCAAATACATAAAAAAAATTATTTTTTAAAAAAGGAAAGATCTCCAGGGGATAAGCCAGCCACTGTTGCGCAATTGTAATGTTTGGCAATATACCACCTGCCCCCTTACGTTCCCTATTAATCTGTATGTAGCCAAATTGCCTTCTAGCCTAACGCAGGTCCTGCTTATGTACATTGTTGTTTCTATAGCCCTGTTAGTTTTTAAGATCCAGGGGAACAGCTGTTTCTGCGTGGTTACTTCGGTCTATGCCTGGAAGAGCCCCACTTGAATGTGAGCCGATGCATTCACTCAGTGGCCCCATACTTGCGTATACCGTACAGTGCTTTCCCAATGCCTGCTGTGTAAATCTTAAAGCCTCCGGGAAGGGGTTCCCCTTTTAAGTAAACACCGAGGGGGCCTGCTAGATAACCGCTTATCCTCTCGGATTCAGACTTCTTCTTTTCTCATTCCAAAGTGCTCAAAGCAAGCTCCTGCCGAACCACCCATGGCATCAAAGCGTCTTCCCATCAGCAAAGCTCCATCCAGCACTTGGTGGGAACATGGGGGATGAGATGTTAGTGGCAGAGCGGAGCCCTTTCACACCCTTGGATGCGCGGGTCGGCGAATAAACCTGACACTGGCCAGACCCCCCTTCCCACACTCGGCGAGGTGGTCCGCATCGTTTGTCTGAGGGCTGGCCCAGGGTCCAGCGCTGTGCAGGGAATACGCTGCCCGGCCCGGAGAGGACAGGCTTGCAGGGTCAGCATTCTGGCCTGCGCTCCCCTGCAAGTCAGGGTTCGGGGGGATCACACACGCGGCCTTGGTGCCAGGGCAGGGGCTGCTCCAGGCCTCGTGCGGCGGGAACACTCCCGAGCGCGAGGGCGTGCATCCCGGCCTGAGGACAGGCTGTCGATTTTGCTCGGGTTGCACGCTTTCTCAGCTTTCGCCGCAAACTGTAGGACTCACGCTTGCAGTGATGACTCCCCGTTGCGGGAACGGACACTCCCCGGCCAAGGGCCATCCTCTCCTGTCGGGGTGCGCTCGGCCCAGAACCCGGAGCGGGGTTCCCCCCCAACACCTCGTTGCAGGCGTTCTGCCGTGACTTTCCTGCACTTTCTCGCACCGTACCCGGTTCCCTCCTAGAACGTCCTCCTGACGACGGCCAGAGTCCTGCAGCCCGGCCTGCGTCCTCCGTCCTGTTACCCGTGGAACCGCAGAGCGCCCCCTCCCGCCCCCTCCCGCTCCCAGAGCAGCGGCCCAGGTGCAGTGTGGCCCCAGCCTGTACTCTCTCTGGCCTTGCAGATCCCAGCATCAGCCGATACCATGTGTGGTGGCTCCCGGAGGTCTGTGCTCACAACAGAAGCAGCGGCGTGGAGACCTTGTCCGGCATCACCCAGGTGAGCGGCGGCCCGCACACCGCCCACGTCTCGCTGCTCCCGGGCTCCACTGGGCCCATGCATAAGACACACGGGAAGGTGGGCCACCTGTATGACCCACCCAGAGCTCGCTCCCCGCGCGGGCTGCTGAGTAGTAACAACATACCCGGGAAAGCAGAATGCTCCTTCTGCGCACTCGTGCCTTCCTCCGCTCACAACCTTCCCTGGGAGCTCGGTCCCGTGTCCACACGACGCAGCTCACAGGACTTCTGCAGAGATGAAAGACGCACTTCCTAGGGAGCTCCCAGGTCAGAAATGCTTCCGAGTTGCTGTTGTGTCTCATCTTAGTTGGACGACAGGTTTGCATTATTTTCAGAATCTTGGCACCACGACGTAACGTTTTCTCTGCCGACTTCTATACGCCCCCAGCGACCCTTCAGCGCCTTGCTTGGGCATGTCCCTGACTAGCAGCTCCTTGTGCAGTGCATGCGACGTCTACCCGACTCACGGCACCGACACTTTCCTGACTGTTCATTCTGAAAGAACATTAACTCCTGGGGGATAGGAACTCTGGCAGTCCTACTCCATGTGTTCTTCCAAATAGTTAGGGCGAATGAGTGAATTACAGAGTAGCGGCAACAAAGAATGGTTAAGACGGCGGTGGCCTGTCCACGGTGGTGGTGCCAGTGAGGAGTCTATAATACAGCAGCTTTAAAACACCCAGAGGCACGGCCCCAGCTGTCTAATATGTTGGTCTGTGATCTGTAAGGAGAACGGTTTTCTTTTGAATATTTCCTAAAGCAACAAGTACAGTATTTTTAGAATCCTATGTGATCATGTAACTTTAAGATAGTAAAACAAGTCAGTGGGTTTGCAGAAATACAGTTTTTTACTGGATTTGACTTGTCCCAACGCATGCTCGCCAACGCTATTCCTTTTATTTTTCCCTAAGCTGCCTCCAAAGTTGGGGGCCTTCAGTAAAAAAAAAAAAAGAAAGAAAAAGAAGCATTTTAAAAAAGGGAAACCTACTTGAAAACCAGAGGAAGAAATGAACAAAGCAGGGTTTATTAAATTGTTTGTGGGCAGGGGTGAGGCTTTTAGTGGTTTTACTTAGGCATGCCTTGCAATGGTAGGAAATCAGCCTTATTTTCAGGGGCCCAGCCAACCCTTGGCTTCTCATCTCTGCAAACTCTGAAGGTAAGAATAGGCTGAACCCGTACAATGTGTCCGGTAGAAATAAGAACCAAAAACCACTTTGCTAAGGGCTTAGACCTAGCCTATTTGCATTTGTAAACAGCTTTTAGACCCACTTATTTTGAAGTTAGGATGGAGCATCAGCTAACTCACGTCTTGCTACAGATGTCTGTGTTCCACGCCACATGAAAGCATTCTTGAAAGCTGCCAAGCGGTGTTCTTGGTGGCTCACGTGGGCTTGCAGTCTGTTCCCATGTAAAGCGTACATTCCCCCCTGCGGAGAAGCATTTCAGGCACCCAAGGGGACGCAGCAGGCCTGCGAGGCTCCCTGCTCACTCTCTGGTATGCACGGTGCCCTGCTTTGGCTGCCTGCCTGCCTGTGACCTCTGGGGAGAGGGCCAGTGGCTCCCGGGTGCGCATCCTCCATGCGCATTTCCGCTCCATCCCGGCGCGCACCCCCCCATCCCCCATACATCCGCGGTGTGCATCCCCCCGCCATGCGCATCCCGCCCCCCCCATCTCCCACTGCCGACTCCAGCGACTGGCGGAATGGGCGGAGCCTCAGCTTGTACCCGTACCGCGCTCCGCGGCCTGTGCTTCCCCCCTGACGCACGCTGCTGTCTGGCGGGGACTCCAACCTGCACCCAGACCGCCCCGGACGGAGGCCCCGTCTGCGTCCTTTACACGAGGGCATCAGGCTCTGACACACCGGCCAGACCGGAGAAGCAGAGCAGGCAGATGTAAAGGAAACAGACTTGCCCACTTAGGACAGCCCCAGAGTCATGTTTCCACGTTCGCGCGCAGTTCTGCTCTCAGCCTCCTCCTCGTTCCGCCCGCGCGCGTGACCACACCGGTGTGGCCCGAAGCAAGAACAGCCCTCCAAGAAGGGGAAAGAATATATTGCCGAGCACGGTCTTCAGTTTTCAAAAGGCAGACTTACACAGGGGTCTCCGAGAAGCCCGAGTTCCCTTTTTTCTCGTGTTTTATTTTTTTTTTATTATTATTATTTTTTAAGATTTTATTTATTTGAGAGAGAGAGAATGAGAGAGAGCGAGTACATGAGAGGGGGGAGGGTCAGAGGGAGAAGCAGACTCCCTGCCGAGCAGGGAGCCCGATGCGGGACTCGATCCAGGGACTCCAGGATCATGACCTGAGCCGAAGGCAGTCGCTTAACCAACTGAGCCACCCAGGCGCCCCTTTTCTCGTGTTTTAAAAGCAGATTTGTGCTTACACTTGGGTGGCACCTTCGCGGCCGGCATCCGGAAGCGCGGGGGGAGGGGGAGGCTCCCGGTGGTCGTTCCTCACAACATGCACCGTGTGTCCTTTGCGCTTTTTATAAAAGCCACAGTGCACACAGTGCATATATAGGAAAATACCCTTGTGGCACGAGGATTCCATCTCCTGCCAGTTTTTTTTATCCCTAATGAGACTTATTGCTAGCATATTCTCGTTCTCTTGCTCTAGGACAATTACATAATTCTTCAAGATCTGTCGTTTTCCTGCAAATACAAGGTGACCGTCCAGCCGGCCCGGCCCGCAGGCCGCTTGAAGGCAGAGACCGTTTTCTTTACGACGCCTCCGTGCTCAGCCCTGAAGGGGAAAAGCTACAAGCACGTTCGCTGCCCGGGCGAGGCAGGTACGTTCACCCCAACTTCCAAGTGCGCGTCTAGGGTGTTGGCGACACGGGGAAAACGTGTCCAAACGGACTTGGCGAGGCCGGAGAAGCTTAAAGTAGCCCTCCTTCCAAACGGCGGTCGGATGGCCAGTTGGGGCAGCGATGTGCGTGCGGCTGTAGGCGTTACCGCGGTGGAAGCACGTCCTCTGCTCGCAGCATTCCCCCCTGCGAAACGAAGCAAAGGTTTACACAGCGCTCGTGCCTCGGCGCAGTCTGCACATTATTTCATTTTTATCCCGGCCCTTTGCCAGGCGAGCCGCCTTCATGCACTTCGCACAACAGTGCCGCAGACCCCGTGTCCGCACCCATCCCCCTCCTGGCCGAGGCCCCTGTGCGGCAGCAGGACGACTACCCAGGACTCGGTCCGCGCGGCCCCCTGAGCTCCTCCGAGTGGCTGAGTGCGACGGCCGATCACTTCACTGTCCGCCCTTGGTGTGGTGGTCATGTCTGCTCTCGGAGCAGCCGCTGGGTCTTGCCACGCTGCAGAATTCCCTCTCCGTCTTCCACCCCCAAAGCAGGGTCCTGAAAAGAATCCCCAAAGCACCCCAAAGTTGCAGGGACAAGAGAGACTCTGGCTCACTGCTCACTGACCATCCCCGTAGGGCAAAGAGGTGGTTTCTGGGAGCCGTGCGTGGAGACCGAGCTCAGCCTGCCTGTGCCATCCCCACCCCCCAGCGGCCGCCCGGAGTGCCCACGATGCGTGCAGACAGGCCCCATTTCCACTCCTTGTCCAGCAGCCTCAGCAGGTGCTTCTGTCCACCTTGCTCCAGGTCACGTGCCGGCCAAAGTGCTCGCCAAGCCCGAGAACCTCTCTGCCTCGTTCGTCGTCCAAGATGTGAACATCACGGCCCACTTCTCCTGGAAGATGGCCAAGGCCAACCTCTACCAGCCCATGACGGGCTTTCAAGTGACCTGGGCTGAGGTCACGACCGAGAGCAGACAGAACAGCTTACCCAACAGCATCATCTCTCGCTCCCAGATTCTGCCTTCGGTAGGTGCCGGCTCAGCTCCTCGGTGCGCGCGGCTGTCCCCATTGCGCACGGCCGCCTGCTGCGGGAGGGGGGCCCTTCCGCCAGGCTGCGTGCTAACTAACTACTGAGCCTTCCTGGGGCAGTTTCTCCTTCTGCATGTAGGAGTTTGCAGGGATTAATGATGCATCACAAGCTGAGCAGCGTACACGGTCAGCTCGATAAACCCTGATTCTCCAGCAGCCTCTATCCTGTCTTGCATGCAAGTGATTTCACAGTTTGTTTGTTAACCCCGTGTCCCTCTGGTCCAAGTGAACGTGCCCTGTTTGAAGTGTTAAATTGGGGGAAAAATAGCTAAAAGAAGCTTGTTGTTTCTCTCCTTTTTCCCCATTCAAATTTGGCTAGAGCCCATAATGAGTTGGCCTGTCTTCCAGGCCACTTAATTCCTTCGCTTGAAAAAAAAAAACCATGTGTGGGCTTTTACCCTCTCTAAAAATGCCCTTAGGATATCCAACCCTGGCTCTAAAAAGAAAGCAAGAGAGAAAGAAAGAAAAAAACCCTAAGTCCGGAAGGAAAAATTCCTTGGAATTAGAAAGCAGTTATTCTATGAATGTATTAGGTTTTATTGAATTTTGAGAAGAATGTGTTGGCATAAAAATAAACATTTTCAGTTATGGGCATTGACAGATACTGTGTTTTAAGGGAAACAGTTGGCTCGTTTCACTGAAATCTGGATTATCAAGAATTTCACATCACAAGATGTGCAGATGAAAACTTTAAACCATGGGAAAGTCCTAGGTTAGGGAGTAAAAAATGAAATCCCAAGGGTGAGCCTGAGAACTGGCACCTCGGCATAGTCTTACTCTGCCAAGTGTCTGGGGCTGCCCAGACGGGGCGCGGAGGGGGAGAGGACGCGGCGCGGAGGCGGAGAGGACGCGGCAGGGGGCTCCCGCGGAGTACGGGCAGCCACTGCTTCTGCTGCCCTCCTGCGCTCACCCCTGCCGCTCTCCGTGCGCTCTCGCTTGGCCGTGCACGCAGCCCTATCGCTCTCCGCTCACCCCTGCCGCTTTCCGCGCGCTCATGCCTGCCGTGCACGCACCCCTGCCACTCTGCGTGCTTGCCCCTGCCGCGCACGCACCCCTGCCACTTTCCACGCACTCATGCCTGCCGCACATGCACCCCTGCCGCTCTCCGCGTGTTGGCCCCTGCCGTGCATGCACCCCTGCCGCTCTCCCGCGCTCCCCCGCGCTCCCCCCTGCCGTGCACACACCCCTGCCGCTCTCCGCGCGCTCCCACCTGCTGTGCACGCACCCCTCCCGCTCTCCGCGTGCACTCACACCTGCTCTCTGCCGGGGAGGAGCCGCTCAGAGGACGCGTGCCCCCTGTGCCTGTCCTTTTTGAAAGGTCACTGACGCGCATCTCCTTTTGTGTGGCTCCCCCAGGACCATTACGTCCTCACGGTGCCCAACCTGAGGCCGTCCACGCTGTACCGACTGGAAGTGCAGGTGCTGACTGCGGGAGGCGAAGGGCCGGCCACCATCAAAACCTTCTGGACGCCCGACCTCACGCTGCCCTCAGCGGACAGTGAGTGTGGGACACACAGGCAGCAGTCCGCGTGAAACACTAAGTTTATCACCGAGCCCTGTGCCCCGAGGAGTGTTCTGGGTCTGAAATTCGTCCTCCCCGCGAGTATCTGCGGACCGGATTGTATTCCAGCCGCGTCAGCATGAGTGCGCGGTGGCCGCTTAAATGCCCCCTGCCGGCCTCGCTTTCCTTCCCATCCTTGCTTTGGTTTTCCACACGTATCATGCTTTCCCCGTGTCTTTTACACCATAAATACATACGAGGGGGAAAAAAAAATCTGTAAGTTCCTATCAGTCTGAAATTATTTTAAAAATTAAGATTTTCAAATATGAAGATATAGGAAATAGTTTGCTAAGGATTATTTTCTTATTACACACATTTTGCTGTAATACACTATATGAATTTGCTTCATAATATGACCCAAATCAATCTACTGGATTTACTGCTAAGTCAACTACAGTTTTTTGTTTTTTGTTTTGTTGTTTTAAATGTCACGCACTGTTTCTAAACAGTCAGGCTCTTGCTGATTTTTAAATTATGTGCTTCATCTTTTTCCAGCTTACACGTATAAAGCAGTGCCTAAAGGTTTGTGTGTTGATAAGAAAATGGAGAAGTAATCCTGGTTTTACCTTTACAGTTGTAGAAGCACATTTGCCCCCATCAGTTTTCATGCCTAGAATTTAGACAGAGCTCAGGATGGGAGAGCGCCACGGCCCCTACCTTCGTCCGGGGTCAGTGCTTTCCTGATGCTCCTCCTTTGAAACTGCGTTTCGTATGTGTACTGAAGTGTTTACGCTCCCAGGGGAGAGGAATGCCTTGGCTTGCTTCTCTAACTGTATGAGCCAGGAAAGGAGCTTGTCCTAGTCCTGTGATTTTATGAACTTGAGGGAACGAAGGAGAGAAAAGAGGGGAGGGGGGTTCAGAGCAGGAAAGACATGGATGTAGGAGGGAGCACTCTGTGGGTCTGACCCTTTCACCGCCAGTCCCCGGCTTCCCATAGAGCAACATGACTGATACCTATGTCCTGTCCCCCCTCAGGACCCCATCTTAAACCTCGGCATCCTCATCATTACAAGCCTTCTCCAGAAAGATACTAAACAGCTCAATGTGTGAGAATCGAAGAACGAACAAGCTGGTTGAGCTTCACGGTGCAGACATGCTGCTATGAAGCCAGCAGGTGCCCTGCGTGACCTCCCTCTCCCATGTAACCTTGTGCTCTGGGTCCCTCTGCCCATCTCAACGCAGCTGGAAAGGAGTGACTCACAGCCGGTGGGGGTGGACACCCACTTCCCAGAATGGAGGCCCATCGAACCTGAAATCGGAATATCCACGAATGAACCTCTACTGAATAATTGCACAGATGAGATCTCCCTGGATTCAGAGCAGCAAATTCTCAGAACAAATCAATGTAACAAACACACAGTGCATACACATACTAAGCATAACATATATCAATAAAACATTTTTAAATTAAACAATTGCTTTGATTTGCAAAATCTAATAAGGTGATGCAGTTTGTAAGCCCTATGTATTCAAATCTTCCGAAAGATTTATATAATGTGTGATTTATTCTTAAACCTCAAATACATAGCAATTAAGTTCCATCTATGATTGTCCACACCTGCAGCCCCTGAGCCCCGTTCACACGAAGGCGAATGAGCATCTCGTGTGTGAGCTATGCTTTACGAAAGGCTCCCAAAGCAGGGAGCATTCAGCGAATCCGCTGCTATCCACAGTCTGCCTCGGAGAAATGAAAATGCTTTTCTGGGGATATGTTTTCATGCTTCATCCTATAAAATGAGAGACCTTTCCGATACGTTTTCTTATTTATATTTTCCTTTTTCCCTCCATGCAGAAAAGAGCTGCTGGTACACTTTGTTTTACCACTTCATGTATCTCAAAATTTACAGAGCCTTTTGCTTAAAGTGAGAATCCCAACTGTTGAATATTTTCCAATCTCTACTAAGATTTGCCTTTTCTTAATCAAAGTAAGCTATCTGAATGCTAGAATATTCTCGGTAACGTAGGACAAGAGGCTTTGATTGATAGAGGACAGCTATTTGCTTGCCTTTATTCTTTCAAACCTATTCTGTGCGACTGCTTGGCTCCAAACGACCCTTCCTAGCATGGACTCGGGTCGGAACCCATCATCAGTCCATGGTGCTGCTGAGCACTGGGGCAGCCTTCCACCCAGAAACATTCGGTTTCAACCAAGTTTTTCTTGAGGGAATAGCCACAGATGTGGTTTGGAATAGGCATCTATGTATGTCTATGTACGTGTGTGTGTGTGTGCGCACACACACACACACCTTGAGTGTGACTCACAGCGGAAATTCTCTTCACGGCTCACCAATGGTGCAGAAAGATCCGGTTCTTGTAAAGGGAAGGGTCATGTATTTTTCCCGTCGGTGTTTATTCTGTGAGGAAAGAGCAATTTATCAGCATTTCAACATCTTAAAGGAACGGCTTCCTCCACTCATCGTGCAGCTAACTCAATCGGGGAAACGTCTGGGACCATTTTCTTGGGTTACGATGGTGGCACTGGGTACCTGCCGTGTTGTGGGTTTCTGGAAGCGTGCAGATGCAGAGACAGCTCGAACTCCTTCACTTCACCAGTGTCTGAAGGCAAACGTGCTACAAAATGGAGACAGAGTATTTTTATTATCAGATGGATGCGTATCTTTAGGAAACGCGGTCTGTACCCATGGATACGTGGAAACAGAGAGTAAAAACTGTCTCCTGGGTAGCAAAGAGTTACAGTGATGATGCGGGCAATGTTTTGTAGCTTCGTACAAGTGACCCTCGTGGGAAAGACCAGCGTGAAGGTGCATGGGCTTCCAAATGCTTGTCCGCGGCTCCTGACGCGGTCCGGACGGACTCAGCCCCATGAGGTCCAAAGTCCCCTGGTTTCTCACGGAGAGAACCGGAAGCACCCCTCGTTTCCAACCACCCCAAGCTTGACCCAACACCACAGGTATCTCCGCGGAAACTAGGATTTACGCCAGTGCCATGGGCTGCATCTGAATGTCAAGTTCTCAAGTTTTCACAAATGAAGACGTCTAATATTGGCTACAAGTTTATCTTTACCCTGAATTTGTCACGAACAAATCCAGTATTTGTGCCAGCAAATTTCTGTACTGTTGTATAGTTCAAAATGCAGGAGTATACACATAGATACGAAATATTATTAAATTATTATGTAAGTTTGATTTTATAAGGTTTAGTTATGTGTCTTTTGTCTGGGCAATAGACAATGAGCAAATACATTTTTAGTTTGGATGAAGGTTCTGAAGCTTACACCTTCCTTACAAAATCGAAAGCTGCTCCTGTGAGCATCTCATTCTGCAATAACAAAACTTAAATTTTATTCACACAGTTGGAAGAAAAATGCTGTTAATTAGATGATTAAGGAAACAGGAGTCTCTTTTATGAACTTCAATGACCTTCAATAATATGCGAATCAGCCAAGATATAATTACTTTCTTTTTTTAATTTAAAAAATTTGACTGCCCTAATAAAGGGATACAATCTATGGGTTTTTTTCTTTAAACATTGTTTTAGTGGCTAAGTCTCTGTCTTATTAAAATTAAATGCATCTCTCTCATAGGAGACACATTGTCTCTCCTAGGAGAAAATATATATTCAGTGATATTTACTTTTACCGATGGAGCCCAAAGTTCAAGTGTAAAGGTACGTCTGCATGCTAGGAACCTGAACGAACCTATAAGTAATCACACAGAGCGGGCTTTGTCCACGTCTGTGTGGCTGGCAGGGGGGCCCCAGCCGCGCACCGTAGGGGGCCCAGCGGCAGCTCTGGCCTCACCCACCACATGCCAGCGCCCCCAAGTTGTGACAGCCCACAGTTCTCCACACATTGCCCACTTGCACCTGGGGGAGTAAGCCTCCCCTGGTTGAGAATCCGTGCACCGGAGAGGGAGTGACCTTTACTAAACACGGGAGAATCTGCCTCATATGAGGGACCCAGGAAACTGTAGGAGCCGAGCAAGAGCCGGGAACTTGGACTGCAAAGCCCTGAATTGTGTCTTTCATTGTGTCACTCAAACACCTGATGGGAAGACTGAATTCTGACGTGTCTCTATCATCTGAGTACAGATATTTTCTCCTTCGTATCGGTCAGCGTCACGTGTGATAATGACTTATTTATTTAATGCCCTTTCTTATGCCTTGGGCCATGGATTTACTAATTACGTTCACTCTTTCCCATGATTGCAAATAGCTCTCAATCTTGTTACACAAACCCTCACATTGTAACCAGCACACAAAGGCTGAATATCTGTTGCATGTTCTTATAATTCATTTAAAATAATAAATGCATAAAGATGGTGACTCTTACCTATGGTTGTGCATGGCCAGACTCCGTTTCTTGCCTCTACGGAGTATTTTAGCAAGTTACACAATTTACAGAGTGATTAACAGAGGTCTGTATGTAAAGTAATTATTATTTCTTTCCTTAATTATACTGTAGTACGCAGATAACAGAACAGCTACCTTCTCATCCCAATGGCCTATAGAGATCACATCTCTTCTACTGGTCATTTCAAGTCAATATTTATTTATGTATGTAATAAAAAAAAAGTGATTTTTGTGTGTGTCTGTCATGTTAGAAGTAATCTTGTAAAAAAATTTTGTAAAAACAAAGTATTGTAAATAGTCTGATATTCTGTGACTCATTATTTTCATGTTAGAGTTTGTACATACTGATTCAGTAATAAAGCATCCTTAAACCTGCCCAGTGGACTAGACTCATTTATTTAAAAAAAACACTTTCATTTTTCCATTTTTTTCCTACGTTCCCAGGGAGACTGAAAAAGTCAGTATGAATGGAATTCGAGGTGTGGTGGGTGTAACGAGACAGCAGTTCATCCTAGTGAAAGTGTTTTGCGGTTTGAAAATCAACACTTAAGAGTTCTTCCATTATATTCATTTAGGACCGGTATTGCAGATGGCTTTGGGGGGAGTTTTTTTTTTTTTTTTTGAAGATTTATTTGAGAAAGAGATGGAGAGTGTGCACACTTGAGCAGGGGTGAGCGGGGATGGGGGGGAGAGGTAGAGACAGAGAATCTCAAGCAGACTCCCTGCTGAGCACAGAGCCTGATGTGGGGCTCG